TTTTTACTAGTGTATCCCATGCTTTCAAGGACTCATTGGGTTGGGGTCCAGTGAAAGACACTTCCGCATCCGTATCAATCAGGCATATTTGTGTGTGACCCTCGATCTCCCAATTGGCCTCTTCTGCCTTGCGATCTAATGCTCGGTAATAGTCGCAATCTTTTCCCAATAATTTGGAGTACAGGTTCAAGGAAAGCAGGCGCGAGTAAGGTAATCAAGAAGTCCGACGGCACCCTGATTCTTACTCAGCAACGCCGTCTGAATCGCTGGGCAGAAAATNTTGATAGCTCAGTTCAGCTGGCCGTCGTCAGTACAAGACCTCCCTACACTCGGTTCAGCTGTGCACATACTGCCAGTTTACATCAGTCCTCCATTTGAAATGGAGGTTACCCGGGAAATAGGTTACCTCAAGGTGTAAGGTCTCCGGCACCAACGGGCTGTCCCCATCGGTTTTTAAAGATGATTGTCCAGTCTTGATTTTGGAGGTAACAGAACTCTTGGGCTCAGTGTGGGCAGGGAAGAGGTCCCAACTGAATGGTGTGAATCGGTCCTCGTGTGAAAACCACAGAGGGATTGTTTTAATCAACATTGCTTCTGAACTTCTCACCGGCACCACACGCCGCAACAACGTGAACATTGATCGTTTAAATAATCTCATTGCATTGTAATAGTGGTTCAGTACGTCTTACGCAAAGTTTCAAGTTTTATATTTTTTTAACTTTCAACACAAATGTAGAAGTTGTGAAATCAATTTTGCGAAAGTTGTGATGCGCTGTGTATCCGCCCGCGCGTAATCTTGATAGTCTGCTTGCATTTTGATTGGTCACTTGTTAATTTTTCTCTTTCACCCTTAATTTTCAAATAGTCCACCGTCATAAATTTTGTTGTACAACGTGTCAAACAACTGGAAGCCTGTGATCCGGAGGTTGAAACCCATAACCATCCATCTGGCGATATGCCAATATGTCCGTTTTCATGGCCTTCTTCAGCTGTCGCTTGGGCGGATGATTTTGTACGGGCAGCCTCTTTGTCCTGCACAGGTGCTGAGTCCGTCTATCTCACTCCCGCAGATAGAGTTCGTGCTTTTATGAGCGGACTGGGTAGTCTAGATCCAGCAGTCGACCCGTTGTCTGAACTGAGAAAACTGGCCAAACAATTGCGAACCATCGAGACAGTCCGCAATACGTAAGTAAAATCTAGTTGACCCACTTCTAAACAAAATATCCGATTTTGTTTGTGTTCCATTCTAATTTATTTTACGTTCTAATCTTGAAATAGTCTCATCTGCATTGTTTTCGATCAGATTGTAATAGCGTCCATTGGTGCTTATTCTCAGTTTCTCATGTACCCCCAAAAAGAAAGTGCCCGTGAGAATGCAAGCATCCTAGAAAACCTACAACCATCAAGTCAGACACGTGAACATATCAAACAAAAAAATGCATGCGTGTTTGTCGCAGATGAAAAATATAGCAGTGAATTAAATCACTGAATGACATCATCATCTAACCGATTATGCTAGTAGTTCACCTGGTGAGGGACAATTTGGTGGTCACAATCTTATAGTGTTTACTTCGTCTTGCTCACGTTTTGGCATTGCATTGAACCAGAATTCTTTTTGTTTTTGTTCCGTGAAACTGTGAATATAAATGCCTGGGTGTTTCAGAAATCATGTAAATCCTGTAAACGATATTGCATAAACAAAGGTGACCCTCCTACTTAACCTTTCATTCCCACCCACCGCCGCTTTCACCTAACACTGCGTCATCTATTGGTGGAGGCGGCAAGTTTCACAAATCGATAACAGTGCCCGGGTCGATATTTCCTCCATCTCATTCTCTCTGTTCCTCGTACTGTCAAACTTAAACTTCATAATCAGCGTTGGATTGCTGGAAAACACCAGTAATAAATTTTAGAGAGGAAAAACTGTTCAGTCGCGGGTTTATTAAAAAAAGGGGGATTTTCTTTCTGCATCTCCCTCGCAGAAGTAAAATTTATGTTCATCTTGCACTAAATACAAACGCGGGGCCGTGCCTCGTTATCGTCGTATATTATTTCGTGAAATTAAAGTGAAGGAACGCGTAATCATCTTTTTTGAATCAACTCGTTTAATTTTCAAGGTGATATGTTATTCTACAACGCCACATTTTTGAAATACTTGCAGATTTTTGCGCAGAAAATTCAGTTTCGGTTTTTGCCCATCATGTCAGAAATCGCTTCAAACGACTGTACAATTTTGTTCAACGATACTGTAAAATACTGTGTGCTAGCTGGCGTGTGACGCTTACGCGGCGTTGATCACTTTACCGTCTATTATTTCATGTCACATTCGCTCGCTCATGGGAAAACTGATGATGTCGAGAGCATGATACACCAAAAGGAATGCAAGAATGTAGGGAAAGCTTTCTACATCCTGACAACGTCGTTCAGCTTTATGGATTTGACATATTCTGAGGCGATCGTAATGTGATGTGGTGAAGTAGTCACTTTCGTCAGCAGAAAATGATCCAGAAACGCTCTTCATTGTTTTGAATTTAGTACCCCTGAAATAAATTGTATTTTTGTTCATTGTAAGCCCGGTTTTCCCAGTCACTTTCATCACATTACTTTAGCGGACATTTGCATCGCTCCCAATACGCCAGCCTCTGATATTCGTTTGTTTGTCGACTCTTTCTCGTGACTTTAACAGGTTTAGATCAGTCTTTATGCATTGCGGATGGTGATTTTAATCGTTCTGTCTCTCTCCTTACAACTCATAGAGAAATTAGTTAAATCAACATCGTCTCTAAACTTCTCGCTGGCATCATACTCCGCCGATTGTCTGC